GTACCTTTTATGAGCTTCGCTCGACTAAAATGATCATTTAAAAAATCGCAAAGTCTTTCAATTTGTCGATTAGATTACACAGGGTGTGTCAAAAGTCCCATGTAATTTTTATCTATCGATAAAAATTTCGAAGTTATGAGAGTTTAAATTTTGTACTTTGACTCTATTTGTTTCTGTTGGAAAAATAATTTTCCATGTTTTCTTTTTGTTGCAGGCTATTAGAAGACGAAACAAGGAAGCTGTATCGTAAATTGTAATTCTAATGTTATTTGTGGCTTTTATTGGCAAAATTATCGTACCTTTATTAAATAATTATATACAGGTTCATCAATATCATTAAATAGACATAAAAAATGTCAATTTTCAAAAAATAAATAAAAATCTTTTGACAGATTTTTTTAAATATTTTTTTTCATGTTCCTGGTATCTTACCTTACCGTATCACGTTGGTCCGGAAATTTTGACACACCCTGTATAGCCAAACGTAATATGTGAAACATTTGTGAAATATTTATTCAACCGAAGAATTTGTTTTTTATTATTTATATTTTTTGAAAAATAAGTGTTAATAAATTATTGCAAATTATTTGTTTTCTTTAGAACAGTTTATTAGTGACGGTAATTGGTAATTTTTCTATTTCATTTCCCAGGAAACGCTACTTTCAGCGCTCTCAAATATTTTTTTTTCAGCCATTTTTAAAACGTCCGTCTTGAAACTTATGTGAAGACATAGTAAAAATATGAGAGTTTTTACATAAATTTTTTGAGAAATTTTAAATTTCTGCGTAATTATTTATTTTTTTGTTTAAACAATATACTTTTAAATTATTTATTAATAACAAATTTTTAGAATACGTGCATTTTCACGTCCGTAATGTACCTATTTATATCTATTATTAAAAAAAAAGTCGTTTCAATATGTCGATTTCTTCTTTAGATAAAAATTCTTTTACATTGAAAAAATACAAAACGGTGAAAAACGTGTCACTTATCAAAAAAAAACATATCTCAAAATTACGAAAATCAGAAAAAATGAGTTTTAAAAGTGATGGAATTACTCAATAATACTTTATCATCCATTCAAAATTCCTTATGTTTGCTTAAGGATTCCTAAAATAGAGAATTGGATATTTTCATTGTCAATATTGCTGATCCCTGGCCTACACAATCCAAATGTTTTTTCAGTTAATCTTCTCCAAACGACTTATTATTGTTTAATGAAGAGAAAAATCAATCGAGCTCGTCAATCCCGATATGGCGAGTATAAAAAAGAGTGCGAATGAGGATAAACAGATTTTCAGATTTACGATTAAATGGGAAGTTTACGATTATTAAAAGAGGGATGTAAAAATTTATATGGCAACCTTAGACATTTAAAAATAAACCAAGCTAATTATTACGTCACAAATTCATAACTAAATAAAAACAATGACTCTACTATCTACAATCCAAATTATCACAATTTAAATAAAACCTCATTTTGCATTGAGATGAAAAGTCAAGAAGAGGGTAAAAAATGGCCACAATTCCTTGCAGTTTTCGCCGGTAATTCTCTCATTTTTTTTTCAAAATTTTACTAAATTTATTTTAGCAACTTTTGTCTACCTCCCCACGGGGATTCACACAGGATGGCCGGCCCCCTCCCTCCCCCAACTCCTCTCCGACGCCTACCCCCACGAAATCACCAATGATGAAGCTTCCTACATTACAATAACCGGCCATTTGGGCAACATTTTCGGTGGTTTTTTGGGCAACCTCCTCCTTGACAAAATCGGGAGGAAGAAAACCATCCTCCTTATTGCCCTCCCCCAAACACTGTCATTCCTCCTAATCATTGCCTCCTATGAAGTTATGGAGTTGTTGTACGTGGGGAGGTTCATTGGGGGGGTTGCCGAAGGGGCGACTTTCTCCTTCATGCCTGTGTACATTGCGGAAGTTGCCCAACCGGAAATCAGGGGGAGTTTGGGTGTCTTCATGTCGGTTATGTGTGTCTTTGGGATGCTTCTTGTCAATTTGATTGGTTCGTATTTGAGTATCAAGCAATCCGCTGAGATTTTTCTAGTGTTTCCGGTGCTTTTTTTGGTTGTTTTTTACAAAATGCCTGAAAGTCCCTATTTCCTCTTAATGAAAAACCGGAAAATTGAAGCTGAGTCAGTTTTGAAGTTCCTGCGTCGGAAAAATAGCGTTTCAGACGAGTTGGCAAAACTCACGAGTGACGTGAATCGACAAATGTCCGAATCCGGGACTTTCCGGGACATTTTCACGATCGAGTCCAACCGGAAAGCTTTGATACTCGTGGTTGTGCTACGAACTTTTCAGCAATTTACCGGAGTTTCAGCTTTTAGTCTTTACATTCAGATACTTTTGAATGAAGCGACTCAAGTTTTGGCTCCTCATGTCGGTGCTTCAATCTTACTTCTAATTCAAGTTTCAATGTCGGTTCTTTCTTCATTTTTTGTTGACAAATGGGGACGAAAACCACTACTGATTTTTTCATCAATTTCTTGTTTCATTACTTTAACTTCCCAGACGATTTTTTTTGCCTTTAAAGAGTACTCAAATGTTGATGTTTCAGTCATTGATTGGTTTCCTTTAGTTATGATGATTCTGTTTATGGTTTCATTTTTTAGCGGTTTAGGAGTTATCGTCAATATTTTTACAAGTGAAATGTTTTCAGCAAGTGTTAAAAGCAAAACTATTTGTTTGACAAATGGTGTTTTTGCGTTTGGTATGTTGGCAACAACGAAATTTTACCAAACAACAGCCGATAATTTTGGTTTGACTGTCCCTTTCGCGACTTTTGCCATTTTGACACTTTTTGGAATTGTTTTTGAGTATTTTTGGTTACCGGAAACGAAAGGCAAAACTTTGGAAGAGATTCAACAAGAATTGAAGAAAAATATGAAATAAATTTAATTGTTTGATTTTTTATACTCAGTTTTTTCGCTTCATGAAATGTTTGTAAGAGTTTTTTAGACGCTTATTATTATTAAATAACAAAAAATTGCTGAGTTTTATTAAGTTTGTCTTTTATATACATACAGGGTGAATATAAAGTATGGAACCAAGCGTTTTTTTTTTAATCATTTGCCTTCAGAAAATAATA